CACAGTGACACGGGAGTAAGAGCCGAGATAAATTGGCCCAGGGTTGCGAGTCCAGAGCTTGGCTCGTGGTTTAGCTCTGCTTTTTTTGCATGGTGTGGTTTAACTCTGCTGGCCGATGTCGATCTGTATATCGTGGCCAAGGGTTGCGAGTAGTTTTCCGAGTTATTTTCCCGTTTAATGCATCAAACCGAGAGCGATTTCCCACTTGGCCTTACGAAGAAGGTTCATGAATCCTTCCAACCTGAAGGTACCCAACAAATTAGCGGCCCATCTGGTCCAGGCCAAGTGGAAACGAGAGGTGGACGTACGTACATCACTACCGGCTTGTCCTCGTCCTCGTCTTCCAGTCGACCCCCAGGCCGCCGGAATCTTCCTTCTCCAAGTTGCCGCTAAAATGACGTGCGTTTTGGACTTGGGACTTACTATACGTGCTGATAAGGCCGAAGCTCGAACAGTCGAACCCCCCTCCCTAAGCTTTCTTGACTGACTCGCAACAACCCCTGTACCGTGCTTCTAAACCAGGTGCACCCCCGGCTGCCGACGATCACTTCCTCCGCCGACGCCGCTGGACCTGGACGGACCAGATGAGCAGAGCACAGCACTGAAGTGGAGAAGGCCGTCGCCTGATCCCCCTGGTGAGTCTCTCTCTAGCTCTCTGTCTCACCCACTCTCTCTCTCTCTCTCTCTCTCTCTCTCTCTCTCTCTACTGAAGTGCTAACCTATTAATTCTTCTTGCTCTACCCAGCATACCTACCTCGGAGCCTCTCTGTTGTTCGAGTGACCAATGGCTGAGACCGTTGTTAGTGCCGTTCTTGGGAACGTGGGCAGTCTCGCCGTTCAAGAGACTACTTTCTTATGGGGAGTCACCCTTGAAGTGAACTTCTTGAAAGATGAGCTGATGCGGCTGCAGGGCTACCTTAGAGACGCTGAGAGCAAACAGAGATCTGGAAGTGAGAGTGCTGCTATCTTGATGAGCCAGATTAGGGATACCACATACGATGCTGAGAATGTTATCGAAGCTGCAGATTACATAAAGAAGAGAAACATGATAAAGAGGGCGAAGGGCTTCATGGGTGCAATTTCAAGGTATGCCCGCTTACCGAGTGACTTGACTACCCTTCATGAAGTCGGTGTTGAAATTCAACGTGTAAGAAGGAAGCTCAATGAGATATTTCATAGCGTAGAACGCTTGAAAATTGACTTGGACACTCATGTTGTAAATGAGTCTCTGGAAGATTATGGCCTTATGCACCAAAACTTTCAGGATGATGTTGACATGGTTGGTTTTGAGAACGATTACAAAGAAATAGTGGATAAATTAGTTGAGGGAGGAAAAATGCTTAGTGCTGTCTCCATAGTTTCCATGGGTGGGGCAGGCAAAACAACACTTGCTAGGAAGGTATACACTTCATCCGGAGTCAAACAACACTTTGAGGCACTGGTTTGGGTGAGTGTATCTCAAAAGTTCAAGGTCATTGATTTACTAAAGATAATTGCAAAGCAAATATCGAGTGATGAAGATCAGTCAAGAAAAATTGATGACATGAATGAGTATGAGGTGGCAAAGAAGATCCGTGATATCCTCATGCTAAAAAGATACTTGGTAGTTCTCGATGATGTGTGGGAAGCAGACACATGGGAGCAACTAAATAGAACAATTAAAGCCTTTCCCAATGCAGCTAATTGTAGCAGAGTACTATTGACCACAAGAAAAAATGATGTTGCGAATCATGTTGAAATGCCAACCCATATTCATGCTCTGAAGTGTTTAGATGAAGAGAAAAGCTGGGAACTTTTTAGTTGCAAAGCTTTACCATCTTACAGAAGGTTAAGCATAGGTGACCTGGATGAGTTTGAAAAACTAGGGAGAAAGATTACAAGGAAATGTGATGGATTACCACTTGCACTTGCAGTTTTAGGAGGTTATCTATCAAAGAACCTCAACACTCAAGCATGGTCCGATGTACTATTGGGATGGCCATCAACCAAAGATACACAGATGATGCGAGGCATAATAGCACTCAGTTACAAAGACTTACCAAATCACTATTTAAAATCTTGTTTGCTCTATCTTGCTGCTTTTCCGGAGGATTTCAACATATCTGTGAGGGCTCTTATTAGTTTGTGGATAGCAGAGAGATTCATTCCACACACTCCAAGGCATACACTAGAAGAAACGGCAAACAATTATGTAACTGAGTTGGCTCAAAGAAGCTTGGTGCAAGTTGTTCAAACAAGCAGCATACGTGGATGGGTTGTGAAAATAAAGATTCATGATATCCTACGTGACTGGTGTATAGAAGAAGCAGCCCAAGATGGTTTCCTTGACGTTATTGATGGAACTACTACAGGTGAGGCTAGCTTCCTCTCATCTTTTCAACTGATTCATAATTGTCTTAAATATATTGATTCCTTTATATAGGTACGCTATTTTTGGGTTGCATGTAGAATAACTTACTACGCGCCATGGATGAAAAAACAGTGTACGCAAACTGGAATTTCAAAGAAATGTATTTCAAAATATTATCATCATTCGAGCAGTAATTCATTTGTTGGAAATTTACAACCAATTTTTTGTGCAGACGTATTTTTAAAATTTTCTTTTATTGTCACATTGTCAGGCGGGCCTTTAAAAAAACATGAGTTATTTTATAAATTACACCCGAGGAGGCAGTTCATGGCTCAAATCCCACCACCTTTTTAGAATAACTAAATTAAAGTGCAGAGCGCACCTTAGTTTGTGGTAGTAAAAATACTGCCAAATAGTCACAATTATATACTATCAAACAAATGGTAGTACTAAAGTGTTAGCACAATATAATGTCGCAGAATGAAATCCGGCATGGGATGCAGCTTGTTTTCATGGAAGCGCAAAATCAGCTCCAAACTTCTCAAAATTTGAGAGTGGCTAAGGCCCTGTTCGGCCATCCTCCGCGGAGCGGAGCGCGCGGAGCAGCGTTTAATCAATTCCGCAGATTATAACTGGATTGCCGCTCCGCTCCGGCGCGGAGCCGCGGAGCGGAGGGAATCCGAACGCGGCTTAAGTATGCAGCTTATTTCTAATGAACAGGACAGATTGGAGCATCATCGTCTCATAGCTTGATATCCTATCGGTGTTCTTTTCAAGACTCAAGTGAGCAGATCTTCCAGGCATCACCTAATCTCAGAGCATTGTTTGGCTTTGGGCTTTCATCAGTAACTTTTCCTGAGCTAAGATTCCTAAGAGTTCTTCATGTTGAGAACTCGAGCCTAAAGAATTTCTCCGAGCTAATTGGTGGGTGCATTCACCTACGACACTTGATGTTGAGAAGATGTGGAGACGTGAAGGTTCCTTCTTCAATTAGGAAACTCCTTTATCTGCAAACTATTGATGTACGAGGTTCATTAGAGGTATCAAGCTCCCTATGGGATATACCTACTCTAAGATATGTACATCTTGACGAAATTTCTCTGCCAAGGGGTGTGCACATTCCACAAACTCTACGGGAGCTTCATATGGGGCCTACTCTTGGTGACCTTTTTGAAGACCCGATGCCAATCCTGGAGATGCTTCCTTGTCTTGTGGTGCTGGAGTTGCATCAATATACACCCGGAACATTTTCCTTTGCTAGACAGTTCCTTCCCGGAACAATGTCCTTTGGTGCCCAAGGGTTCCCTCGTCTGCAAGAGTTACGACTTGTGGGCTGTGACTTTAACAAGTGGACGATGGAGGTTGGGACGCTGCCAAAGCTATCATTTCTGTCTTTTATACATTGCGACCTGTGGGAAGAAATCCCAGATGGATTACTGCACCTTCCATCCCTCAGGTTCATATCAATGAATACTCTAAAAGATTATCCGAATGACAGCACGTTGGATGGTCTGAGACAGAAAGGATGCGAGGTAACGCTGCCCCCCTCCTCCCTCCTGCCCTCCTTTAATTCTCTGTTATTCAACTACCAACGATGAGAACGCCCTGCCTTTTGCAGATTAGAGAAGAAGAATGGTACTACTAGTTACACAGGCATTATGGTCCTATGGTCGATGCATGTCTATCATGTCAGTTTGGCAGAACGAGTGTGTGATCGTTGAGTATTTTGTTCTAAATTGTATGTACTGTTCCTGTATTGGGATTATCACAAACAAGCCATATGTAATGTACAATTGTCAGCTCATGTTGTTCAGTCTTATTTGGGCACAATTAATGAGCAATCACTCCTGCAACAAAGTTCGCCTTGTGCAATGATATTGTATCACAGTTAGTAGTGTATCAAGTGAGGCGTTGGTGGAGACGATGAGAGCCCTAGCTAGAATGACAGCAATTTTGGTACCAGTTTGGCATGTTGGTAAAAAATTCAGAACAAAATTAAGAACAAACCTCCGAATTTGTCATAAATGAGTCTTGTGCTAATAGATGACTACTAGTAGTAGCAGGTCAGAAACAGATACACCAAAATCCATATCCTGAACTTCTCTTATTGCATCTGCTTCAATATTTTGTAGAATACGAAAGAACGACCTCGGTCAGAGAACTGTGATGTGGTAGATAATCTGAAGCATACTTATCTAGAACAAAATTTCCCACGGATATCTTTTATGAAAGAACAAATAGTAGGGCGATGGAGGAGATACTTCAGACCACCTGCTGATTGCTGAACTCCTGGAGGTGAACATACATATACATCGATAGTACTTTCTGCATCAGAGCTAACCATGAGACTCTGCATGCTACTCTGTTTTGGTGTTGCTATGCTATTCTGCTTTCTAAACTCTGTTTTGGGCAGCGATTGTAGCCAAGGAAAAAAAAATAGCACGCTACATCAAAATAGCGCCGACATTAAAATATGCTATTAGCATGCTATATCGTGTTATAGCATGCTATTAGTGAGGCATTGTATACTGATTAATTTGGCGAGACGATTCTGAGCAGGGTATAGCGCGCTATTTTTTCAGTGATTGTAGTTGACCATCCAACTTAAGAAAACAAGGTTGTTTTTTTATAAAGGATCTACTACTTTATTAACTCAAACTATATACAGCATCACGAGAAATCCTTTTATTATCGGTCGACCGTGGTCACAGCCTAAATTTGCACTAAAATGCTACCTAGTCATTTGGCCAGAAAAAGTGACTGAGAAAGAAAAGAAAAAAGAAGAAAGAAACCAAAATGAAACAGAGAGAACTTTTCCTACGCTTGGGAAAAAAACAAGAGCCATGTCCATTTATATGTTGCAGTGAGGCTTGGAAACTCCGGTATAAACGAGTAGTATCATTGTATAGCACTATATCCTTAGACAAATTCCTGAATATTCTACCATGGACAGCATGATAACAGGCCAGAACTCCAATAGATAAAAGATAAAATGACTAGTACAGCAGTGAGATCTTCAGGAAAATACGGCCTGTTCCTTGCAGTTTACCTTTCTTTTTTATAAAAGAGAGCATTCTTCCCGATTTCCATTAAAAGAAATCACCATGTCTTACAAGA